TGAAATTAGGATGTCTACTTCAATATAACTGGAATGCTTACAAGAAAATTTACAGTTACACAGAGGATGGATGACATGTGAAAACACAAGGAAAATGCCCACTGAGAAGCCAAGGAAGGAAACCTCAGGAGAAATCAACTCTGCTGACATTTAATCTGCTATTTCCAACCTCTAGAACAATGAGAAAATAAATTTACATTCTTAAAAGCACTTCTGTGACACATGGATTCTGGAGAGGTTCCAAAACATGTGGACTTGAGTGGCTGGAGAGATGGCTCAGTGGTTAAGAGCACTGCTGTTCCAGGCAAGCTGGGTTCAATTCCCAGCACCCACTCTTTATAACTCTCTATACCCCTGTTCCAGGGGATCCAGTGCCCTCTTTTGGCCTCCTCAGACTCTGCATGCACATGATGTACAGAATTAAATACAGGCAAAACTCCCATAAAAATAAAATGTTTAAATAACAATTTAATGATGAGATCCACCAAGAGCCACAGACTATAACAAAGACTACAACACAAAGCATGAGAAGGCCCCTTTTTGAGTTGTTGATCAGGGCTGTTTAAGAGACAACCCCCCCCACACACACACCCAAACACCACAGGCTATTGCTGTAGCCCTTGATTGCCTCCCAGAGGCAGAGGGTAAATCCCATTGCTGAAGCCACTGTGTGCTTCAGACACAGGACCTGGAGAACTTGAGCTGGATGTGGCCAGAAAGCCTCCTCCCAGAGAAAGTTATCGTGGTACCTGAAGATGCTATGAAAGCTTCCAGAGGAAAGAAGCAACCATCCAGTCCTGTGATGCCTACGAACAAAACCCAGCATGGCACGATATCCCCAAGGGCACAAGAGTGGCATACAAACCTTGGTGGTATCCAACAGCTCTCTACACTGAAGGCCCATTCACCAAGAGGGAAATTATGCCGGGTACTGGAAACCCAGGCAACTACTCAGGGCTAGGAAAGTCATGGGTCTTGGAAGAGAACCTGCAACTGCCACTTTTCTAGGTCAGCGCCATTCCTAACTACATGCTAAATATTTATTCTTATACCCACTGATAGGTATAGGTCTCACAACCCATTTATAAAAAGAAAATGTCTTCTTACAACAGACAGAGAAAACAGCAACCAATCAAAATGCAGAGAACAAGCGGCTGTGTGGAGCCCAGCTTAACTGCTACTTTTACAACACAACTCCTGCACCTAAGGCTCGGGGATCATAGTGGAAGAGGGGATGGAAGGATTGAAGGAACCATAGGACCAGGACATTTGCTGTGAGATCTCATCTCCTAGAAATGTCAGAGAGGCTACACCCACGAAGACTCACTGACACACCACTGCCTAAACAAAACCCGAACAAGGATGGTGACAAATAAACATGGTAACATGGAAGAAAGAAATCTCATGGACTCTCAACTCTAGACAAAGAACTACAGGCAATGAAGGAACAGTGAAAGCATGAAAAATAGTCTTCTCCGGCAAAGGGCCCCCAGATCGTTTATCTAATGCCGAGTGGTCAGCCCTGAAATCGTATTCAAAAAGTAACTTTAGATAGACTAAGCATGTTGAATACACACACACACACACACACACACACACACACATATGTATGTATACACACACATACACATATATATACGAATACACACACCAACAACAACACAAACTAAATGAATAGAGGCCATAATTTGAGAGTACAAGATGGAGGAAGGTGGTATATGGGAAGAGTAGGAGGGAATGAAAAGAAAGGGAGGGGGTGGCATAATTACATTTTTTCAAAAACTAAAAAAAAAAAAAAAACAGAAAGAAGAATACGGTTTGGTAGGCTGTTTTGCTTGCCGACTTAGAATCACCTGGGGAAGACTCCCTGGGCATGCCTGTGAGGGATGGTGTAGCTTACGTTAATTGAGGTAGAAGAGTCATCCTAAATGTGTCATTCTGAGGGCTTGTTCCTCTGCAAGGAGAAAACTGGTTGAGCACCTGCTTCATTGCACTCTTCCTAGGGATGCAGCAGGGCCAGCTGCCTCAAACTCCACTGTCCCCTTGACTGTCCTGACACAGTGGACTGCAGACTTGAACTGTCATCCCAAACAAACCCTTCCTCCCCGAGACTGCTTTCACCAGGGCTTGTTTTGGTTTGTCTATCACAGCAGCAGAAAAAGGTAACCGACTATACCTGTGACTATACTTGTGAAGGCAAAGGGAGGCCGAGTACCAGGGAGGCCGAGGCAGCCTGGGCTACACAGTGGGGTCCTGTCTCAAAACCAAAAGCAAACAAAAACTGAAAAAGGGGTTAAGGGGTTACAAGAAATGAGGACTCTGTTACACATTTGGCCTCATGAGGTAGAAGTTCTGCTGCAAAGACACTGGCAGCCATAACAGACATGTTGACTGAGGTTCTCTTGCTTCAGGCTCTTTAAAAAAAAAAAAAATCACAAACCAATGACACGGTCTTCTGTGGTAGCACTGTGGGCTGACTCAACCCAGCCAGCCTTCCCTTGCGTGTGTGCCAACACCCATCATTATTTCTAGACCGTGGCTTCCCCCTGTCTTTTACATCCATTTAATCTTTTTCACTCAATATAGTCCCATGATTGCCTTTCTTATGGGACCAAATACTTGAAGTAAGTCAAGTACTTTATTGAGTTTGGCTCAATAAAATAGCACAAAGAAATAAGAAATAAGAAAAACAACAGGCAAAAATAGCTAAGTAACATGGTAGACATTTGTGGTACCTTTTCCCCACTGAGCCTTATCAACAACCCTGAGACAGATTTGTAGAATCAGATTACAGGAATTTTCTAAGAGGTCTCCTAGGAAATCTCACTCTGGATTCTGTTTGGCTTCTCGGTCCTTGTGACCTCTGTGGAAAGAACTGAGAGGAAACAAAGTATGGTGCAGAAAGATGTCCATTATTGTTGCTGTAGTTATTATCAATTTGCATGTGCTTGCATGCACATACATGCCCAAGGAGGTCAGTTAGTGTCAGATTCCCCTGCGGCTAGAGCTACAGGTACTTTTGAGCCATCCAATGTGGATGCTTGAAAGCAAACTCCAATCTTTCGCCACAGCAATGTGTGCTCCCAACCACTGAGCACCTTTTTCCAGTTCAGTTTTATTACAGAGTAAATGGGGCACTTTCAAGGGGTGTGGCCAATCACCAAAGGAACCATTATAGAGGACATACTGTCAATGGGTGAGATTGGACAAAGGCCACGCCTGTGCTGACTTCTGTTTTAACCTATTTCTAGTCTCTAGAACAGACAGCTTTTCCTAAGGAGTGGGTTTCCCCTCCCTTTCCCTGACAGGCCCATTTGTATTAAGAGTGAACAATGATGTGCTGTTGTCCTTTACCTGAAGACCTGAAGCCAGAAAGATGTTAATCTAGAGACACAACTCAGATTCCGCTCTTCTGAGTAAAAACCACAGTCACAGTTTCAGTTTCTGGTCTTAAAAACTGCTAATTATGAAGTGGGGAGGGGTCTACCCTCAAACGGCCTTCAAGCAGGTTATCTAGGTAGCTACCTAATAGTTTGGAGAAAAAAAATAGAGACGAGGAACAGAAAGGTTAAGAAGTAAGGACATGAAAGGCAGAAGGAACACAATGTTAGTATCTCTATTGTGAACTCCAGATAGAAAAGAATGAAAGGACAATACACAGCAGGAACCAATGAAGAGCCTAGAAATATGGCTTAGAGGTTAAGAGCACTGGCTGCTCTTACAGAGGACTAGTGTTCAGGTCCCTGCACTCACATGGCAGCTGACAACCATCTGTGACCCCAATCTCAAGGGTTCTCGCACCCTTTTTTTTTTTTTTTTTGGCTTTTTTTTTTTTTTTCACTCTGCATATACCCAGTGTGCATAGATGTACACGTAGGCAAAATACCAGGGCACACAGAATAAAATAAATAACATATTTTAAAAATAAACAGTATTTGGGACTGGTGGCTCTTTTTGTTCAGACGCACGAGCAGCTTTTCCAGAGACCTCGGTTCAATCCCCAGTGTAAGAAATAATCAAATATGAGTCATATCTATGAATACTATAAAACTTGTGTTTAGGACAAAGAATTAAAATCTTTTTATCTTTCCCCACCTTGTGAGACTTTTATGAAAATGTTTCAGTCCTTTCAGATACAGAAAAATACAAAACAATGTTTTGTTTACACAAAACTGCTCTTTTATTGTGAGAATCTGATGGCCTTTTCTCCATTTCCTGTTCTTTTCAGACTAGCCAACCGAGTAAGTCTGTGAGATGGGACTTCAGACAACAAGGAAGAGACACAACCACTAAGTTAGAATAAACACCAAACTCACGTCCCATGTTTTGTGTATTCACTTTTCTGAGCATCCCGCTTGATCAAGAATAAAGTTTGCCTTGCCCAGACACTCCCGCTGGAATGGTAGTTTCTTCCTTTGCCTCTCAAAGCATCTGTTACACCGGCACCCACACTGCAGAACCACCCAACTGGTTCTACTTCCAATCCCAGGGAACCTAACGCCCTCCTCGGCCCCCCCGGAGTACTGCACACAAACGGCGCAGACATGCCTGCAGGGAAAAACACCCATGAACACAAAGTGGCGGGTGAACACAAATAAAATTTCCCCTAAATGAAATGAATGAAAAAGTCGCCCAATGCCAGACAGACAGCATCAAAAGGGGGGGGGGGGGAATCCTGCAGATTTAAACGACAAGAGGAACTTTTCAAAGTAGCTTCGGCTACAGGAAGATTAATGGACTTTTTTTAACGACTGGGCCGGGGGGAGGGAGCTTAGAACCCGCAGCAAACGCTAATTAGGACGGCTTCCCACGCGCAGCCTGGGCAAGGGGGCACAGCACCGCTAACACCGCAGGCTGCCCACGCCCTCTGCCCCCGGGCGCTCCCGTCCCGGGCTCCTTCCCGCCGCCGCCCTCCTGCGCCCGCGCACGCTCCCGCGCACTGCGCCTGCGCGGCGTGACGACGCCGCACGCTCCCGGAAGTAGGAGGCGTCCGGCTGAGTTTGTGTGGCCGCCGCCGCGGGAACGTGAGCGCGGTAGTTTTTCGAAGGGGAGAGCGACGGCGGGCGTCAGCGGCCACCTCCCGGCGCGAGGGGAGGCATGGAGGACGAGCGGGGCGGGCAGCGCGGCGGCGGCGGCGGCGGCGAAGCGGCTCAGCAGAAGACCCCGCGGCCGGAGAGCGAGGAGTCCCGGCCGCTGAGCGCCGAGGTGAGGGTGCCCGCGCGGGGCCGCCTCGCCCGCCCCCCCGCCCCGGCGTCCTCGTCGGGGCGAGCAACCCCTGTTCGAGGGAGGAGGGCGGGCGGGAAGTTCCGAGTGAGAATTCTGCGTAATTCGGCCTGCGCGGGCGCGCTGCCGTTCCATCAGTCCCGCGGCGCTGATTGGCCGGGTCAGCTCCCACCCCACCCCCAGGGGCCGCGCCGAGCCGCTTCGGGGTGCTCCCCGCCCCGGACGTCTGTTCCCGAGGGGACCCTCGCCCTGCCTCTCGCCCGTCCCCTGCTGTCTCCCCCAGAACTCAGCCACCACCGGCTCGCTAAGTAATTTGGCACCCCGCTGGCACATCCCCCAGACAGCGACAGGGTCGTGAGACGGTTCCCAGGACTGACTTGCTCACCTTGGCTGGATTAGCGTTGGCTAGCGCCGCGGGTGGTGAAGGAGATGCTGAGAGCCGTCGCTTTTTCGTAATAGGCGTTGGGCACTGGAAATCCGGGGTGTTCGCAGGGCTAGAGAGATGGCTCGGCCGTGAAAGGCTAGACTCAAAACCAAACTGTCAGAAAAGTGGATGTTCGAAAGGGGCCCGCCTTTGTTCTTTCCGTGTCCACCTTCGTGTAGTAGCCAGGATAGCCTTTAGAATAAATATATTTTTTTAAATGAAAAACGTATCAATGGATGCCACGTGTGTGCACGTGTCTGCAAAGACCTGAAGTCAGATAAGGATCCTGGGGACCGAACTCTGATCCTCTTGGAAGAACAGAACTTGCTTTAATGGCTAAGCTGTCTCTCAAGTCTCCAGATAATCTTTTAGCAGTCTGAGTGTGTCTAGCTTGCTCCATTCATTCCGTGCCTTCCTCAGGTTGCCCCTGCCACCTTTGCTCATTTCATATTGCACATCTTTGCTGTCCACTCTGGCTTCCTTTTATAGTGGAGGGTTTCCTTCCTTAAGGATCTTGTGCTCCCCTTGTCCCGAGCATGCTTCTCTGGATTTTTAGTTTGATCTTATTCTGTTTGTTAAGTTGGTACTTAGGAAGCCTGAAAGAAGCTTCCTTTGCTCTCCCTGGAAAGATGCCCCTTTCCTTCTAATTGAACATCTTGGTCAATAACATCATTTGAGTCTGTTTTACAGCTATTTTGGGAAGCTTCTTTTTATAAGAGAAGTCAATATTCTTGTCTTTCAAAGTCCAGAAACTTTTGAGATAGACTACTTTGAAGACCTGGGTCTGTGTTTACATTAATTTTAGTGGCCATTTTGTGTGTTAAAACCTTTTTGTTAAGTACTCTTTTATATATATATATAATTTTTTCCTTGACTTCAGTCACACAGGTTTTTTTTTTTGTTTGTTTTTGAGATTTAGCTAATAATTTTTTTTAATTTATTCATTTTTTATATCCTGATGATAGCCCCCTCATCTCATGCAGGTCTCCCCCCCCATTCTCCTCCCCTAGTCCTCAGAAAGGGGGGCCTCCTTCTCCCCTACCAACTGATCCCAGCCTATCAAGTCTCATCAGGTCTTGATCCTCTTCCTCTGTGCCCTGACTAGACCACCCCAGCAGGGGGAAGTGACCCAGGAGCAGGCAACAGAATCCATGTCAGAGACAGCCCCTCATCCCCTTACTGGGGACCCACATGGAGAGCCAGTAAGCTCTCCACATGCAGTGAGCTGAAAACTGAGAGTGGGAGGTACTCCTTGATCCTTCCAGATCAGTTTTAAGCTAGGGATTGCAGCCTCTCCGTGGGGATTCCTCTTTATTCTTATTCCGTAATTAGTAAAGTCACTTGAGAACAATGTTATAAATTATAACCAAGTCAATATACATTAATATGTTAGTAGTAAGTAAACTTTTTGACAGTTCTACAAACCTAGGTTATATATGTAGCATTTCTTTAGAAATTAGTGTATTTGTGCTTTAGGTCTGCCTATGAGGAAAATAGAATGGAGTCATGTGACAGAAAGGCAACACAGTAGATTTGAATAATGGATATAATATGTGGCCTAAATTGTGAGCTTTGAAACGGAATGCATTTGTTTGCTTCAAGTACTAGGAAGTTTTAGTACTGGACTAACATCTGTTTTCATTTAGGGCAGGTCCTGTTAACTTTGTGAAGTAAAGCCAGGCTAAGAAGTCCTCAGGAAGTCACGGATTCATAAATGCACAATGATGTTAAAGGTCACTTAAATGGCCTATTTCTAAGTTTGGGGACATTGTTTGTTAAAGAGCTTGTTTACATTTGATGATCATAAGTCAAATCACCGTTTATTAGTAGCTAGCCTCCTGTATACACAATCTTGTACTTTGAACAAATGCTACCTAAATACTGTTTACCATTACCAAATACCATCTAGGACAATTATATTTGCATAGGTGAGGAAACTGCAGATCAGAGGCAAATAACCCAAGGCCATGCTGCTAGTAAAATGGTCAGCCGAGGCTCTGTACTGTCATTGCTCTGACTCTTTTACCTGTCCTCTTTCTACTTCGCTTCATTGCTCTAAGGAATCTCATGACTCAGAATAGAGTGGAGCCAATTATATTGGAAACACATCTATCATCTTCCTGGCTTCTGCTGGCGCCAAGGGGAGACCTTTCATTGTACATGTAGCCTGGAAATCCCATAGGAGTTTGCATCTTTAAACATTTGTTTGCACTAATTATAAATTACCTCTCTTCTCTTTTTCATAGAAAAAGCAGCGATGTAGACTTGACGGCAAAGAAACAAATGGATCTAAGTTTATTACCTCCAATGGAAGTGACTTCAGTGACCCAGTTTACAAAGAGATTGCTTTGGCAAATGGTTGTATTAACAGAATGAGTAAGGAGGAACTCAGAGCTAAACTCTCAGAATTTAAGCTTGAAACAAGGTAATTGAAACTAACTTTTAACACGTTATTTGAAGCATATTCCAGAATAACTTTTCAGTTACAGAAGTAGTAAAAAAAAAAAAAAAAAGATAATAAAGTAAAAATTTGCTTCTCTGAGATAATTCAAATCACAACTGTAATTTATATTCTTTAGCATGAGCTTTGGCATGCAGCTCTATTGCTGTCCTTTAGATGACAAAAGGAGATCTCCAAGTGAGAGTTTGTGACTCTTAGAAATGTCCCATCATTGTCTAGATGTATAGGCATGGCTGTTGTAGCAGTGTGTCTACTTAGTGTTTCCTTCTTACAAGGTCTGGTGTAGTGTGAGCTGGTCTTGAACACACAGCCCTCCTCTGCCTCCTGGGCACAGTATTACAGGCTTGATTCACATGCTTTGCAGTTGTTCATCTAGTTGACATGGGAGAGGGAATTTTTCTTTTTTTATTTACTTGTAGTTTTATACAGGAGGTTTGTCTGGGTCAGGTGGTTAACATTCACTTACAATCAGTCCCTTTGTTTTAGTTTCTGAAGTAACTGATAGTGTCCATCATGTTTCCTGTATTGAGTGAGAAAGCGTAGCTCAGTGAACCCTTCTGTCTTCTGAGAAACACACACCTAAGTTTTCCAAACCATTTTCTAGCCCCGTCACTACTTTTCTGAAGTTTGAGGTATGTGGCAAGCAGGGCTTTTAGCACCCAAAAACATGCATAGTGTTTGATAAACATCAAGAAAAACCTGACTATACATAATAGTTGAAAACATTATTTCCAGGCAGAATCCTTATCCCTTCTAAGTGACGGCCTCTGTTTGTTTTCAGACAGAATTGTGCTACTTTTCAAGGGAGCACCTACCTGTTTTTCCTTCCAGGTCGTCTATCATAGTTTAGTTTGTATGCAGATTTTTTATTTTCTCTCCATTCTTTCTGTTACTAAAGTACAACCTGCAGCCTATAGAAGATTGTCTGAGAGAAATGTTTGTTTTTCCCAAGTGTGAATGTAAGTTGCTTGCATGCAAGCTAGAGGTCTAGATGTGTGTTTACACATTTATTCAACAAGCCTGTGTTGAACTTGTAAGCACTACACTAGACATTGACATTATATAAAGGTAAATACAGTCCCAGTCCCCCACTCTACAAATCTCATTATTGTGAAAACACACAAAGGTCACAATTGGAGTGGTCAGGTACAAAGCTGTCTGTCCCAGGAATTCAAAAGTGTGACATTTAAATTATGCCAAATAGGAAAAGGAAGGAAGATATTTCAGGCAAAAAACAAAACAAGAAAACCTTGTAATTGCTGTTCTATTTGTTTTTGGTCATATGTTCTTATCTTTATTGTACAATCACACTTAAAAGAATTTAAAGCGTGCCACATATTCAGGCTACGGCACATAGTGACATAATCATAATCATAGCTTATGGTGTAGCAGTGTGCTGTGGGGAGAAGCAATGTTTGACAGTGATACCAAAATGATAAGTAGAGGCAAAGTGAAGGAACTCTTTGCTGAAGTCTGCTTTTACCTTGTGACAGAAGGAAGCCACTGGTGATTACTTACACAGGAGATTGAATTAATGCCCACATCTTTTTTGTTTTATTTTTATTTTTTATTTTTTTTTTCAAGATGGTCTCTCAACATAACCCTGGCTGTCCTGGAGCTCGCTCTGTAAATCAGGCTGGCTTCAGTCCCACAGACATTCACATGCCTTGCTGGGATTCAAGGTGTGTGCCACCACTACCCAGCTTCACGCTCAGTTGTTAAGTGAGGTGAAGCAGTGCACTTCAGGCTGTGGTAATGCTGGCCTCTGCCACAGTCCAAGAAGCTAAGAGAAGCTGTAGTAGATTGAGGACAGCCTGGTTCAGAGAGCGTGGGGAGATAGAGCTGGGAAACATGGTGTTTTGATATGGAGGGGCAAGGCTGATGTTAGGGGGAGAGGCTTTACCTTGGGCAGCTAGTTCAGTGTTTGTGCCACCATCATGTTTGCACTGTCATTTCTTTAGTGAAACAATAAATAAGTGAAATGAGAAAAAAAATAAAAATAATTTAAAGTGGTCACATCTCACAGGTGACTCAGTATATTAATATGGAAAGGATTGAGGGACTGAGGGACATTTCTAGGTTTTGATAATGTGTAAAGAAAACACTAAAATACTGGGCATGAAGGGACACCTTCAATCCCAGCACTCAGTAGACTGCAGAAACAGGAGGACCTCCAGGTGTAAGGCCAGGCTGGTCTACATAGTTCCAGGACAGCCAGGGTTACATAGTGAGACCCTGTCTCGAGACCAAAAGAAAAAAGAAAAAAAAACAAACAAACTAAAATATTTTGTCTTAAAACAATCAACTGGTTGACTATCTTTTTCATAATTTGGATTATCGTTTTCATAGGTTGGATTCTTATTCCGTGCTTCAGTGGTAGTTTAGAAAGGAAAACTACTTAAAACATGGAAGTTTTAAGTCACTGATTGGCGATATGACTGAGAAATCGAGCAACCTAGGTTTAGTCAGACTCTTACTGAGTATTGTAGTGTTCTCTCAATTATTTTCTAAGTAGCTACATTCAATTTTAGAGCCATAATACTTTCATACCCTTAAGATCTTTTTTTTTTGTAGTCGTCTAACCCTTTAATCCAGAAGAAAGAGTGCAGTGTTTTCAATTCATCTGAATTTTTTACCCAGCATTACAGCTTGTCCTGTTAGCTTCAGTTTTTATATCATCTGTGTCTTAACACATAGGGCAGTGCTGTGTGCGTGCAAGGATATAGCTTGAAATACTAGGTATTTCAATACAAGTGACGAAAACACTTGTCTTTGCAGGAAGATTTTATCATGTTAAATGTTTTGTTTTTATTAGCTCTTTGCTATCTTGGCTTTGAGTTTTCCTTTTCTCACATTTGTTTTAGCTAGCATTTGTTAGTTATGCTGTGGCTGCAGCTGTGTAACCCAGTACCAGCAGTCAGGAGTTGTGACCTTGACTGTAACATTTACTTAACTGTATGTTTTGTAGAGGAGTCAAGGATGTCCTAAAGAAGCGACTGAAGAACTATTACAAGAAGCAGAAGCTGATGCTGAAAGAAAGCAGTTGTGTGGACAGTTACTATGACTACATTTGTATTATTGACTTTGAAGCTACTTGTGAAGAGGGAAATCCAGCTGAGTTCATACATGAAATTATTGAGTTTCCTGTTGTTCTCTTGAATACACACACCTTAGAAATCGTAAGTTCTGCAGTGGCTGTATTTGTTGTGCATGTCTGTCACTGTACTCACTTAAAGCACTTTCGCTTCTGTCCTTCCCCTGCAGGAAGATACGTTTCAGCAGTATGTGAGGCCAGAGGTCAATGCGCAGCTTTCAGATTTCTGCATCAGCCTTACTGGAATTACTCAGGTATGTTTTAATTTCTATTAGTTTTGGTGGTTGTTTATTTCAAATTGGAAATCCTTAAATCACTGATTTACTTTGTGGGTAGTTTAAAAAATATTCTTATAAGCAATTTAATGTGCTGTTTTTCTTGCTTGGCAAAAGTCTTAACATACTGTAATTAAAACCACCACAACAACAAAAGGGGCTGTAGAGATGGTTCAGTGGTTCAGAGCACTGGCTGTTTTGATAGACTATGTGGGTTTGATTCCAAGCACACGTGTGGAGGTTCACTGTAGACCCAGGATCCAGTGCCCTCTTCTGGGCACCGAGCACACACAGAGTACACATGAAAATACCCATACACATAGAATTAAAACGGAATTGTTAAAAAAACATAATAAAATATAACAATGGTAAAGACTTTTTTTTTTTTTTTTTTTACCAAAAGCCTTAGAGCTGGTGCAGCACTGTGTGCATAGTCTCACATGCTAAGGGAGTAGAAGCACAATTCTGAGGTGAGAGGCAGTCTTGAACACAGATGTCTGAGATTAGCTTGGGCAGCACTGGCAGACCCTCACCTCAGAAACAACAGTCAAAGCCAAAGAGCTAGCTCTACGCTTGGTAACATTTTTGTTACCTGCCCCCTAAAGTTGTAATGATGCCACTAGTATTTCAGTTGTAAATGGAGCGCTAGGATAAGTGTCATGTGCTATACTCACTGATAGGCTTTAAAATGTGTCTGTTCACAGTTGGTGGTTAATCTATGGGTTTTGCTTATGTTTTAATGTACAGGCCTTTGTTAATTTATTTGGTTCCTTCATTAGTTTGTTCACTCTCTCCACACAAAGTTTAGGGCCCACTGTATATGTCAAGTCTAGTCAGTTTCTGCTTCAGTTGTCTGTAAGTCAGGAGACCAGAGGGAATAAGAAAGTAGTCACAGTTTGGGTAAGAAGGGTGACACGTCAGTACTTTATTAGGTTGTGTTGATATTCCTACAGAGGGCTTATATTAATCTTAGAAGGAAAGGCTGCCCTGAGATACGTCTTTATTTTGATGAACTTGGGCTGAATCTTGATAAGAAAATGGGCAAAAGGAAGGACTGGGCAGAGCTCAATGTAGTTCAGGATGGCTCAAATCTATGGGCTCTTCAGAATGTTTGAGCTGGGCAGAAGCAAGCAAATCATAAAGGGTTCTGGTGCTCCTGAGGGCAAGTATAAGGGACATGCAATGTGTCAGATTAACATTTTAGAAAGTCCAGCCCCATGGCAGTGTGGTATGTTGTGCCATACACACTGCTGTAGCATAGTGTAGTGTGGGCAAGTGTGAGATTTGAGATGGGGAGAACTCTTAGGAGCTGTAGCTTAGATGAAGATTTGCCTGTTGTCTAAAGAATCAGTTTACCACAAAGAGAGCCACTGGGGTTGATCTTTGCTCTAGTTTGCTCTCCACTGCCATAATAAACCCCACAACCAAAAGCAACTTGGGAGGAAAGGGTTTATTTCAGCTTATACTTTCAGATCATAGCCCATCATTGTGATGGAATGCAGGTCAGGAATGGAAGCAGACTCAGGAGGAATTTTGCTCACTGCCTTACTCACTAATTTCCTCTCTGGTTCATGCTCAGCTGGCTTAATTACTCAGCAGGGTCCCTAGCCACCTGCCTAGGGATGGTTCTGCCCCCAGTGGCGCTGGCTGTTCTGCATCTGCAGTTAAGACACTTCCCCCACAGGCTAGTCTGATCCAGGCAGTTCCTTCTTGGGGTTCATTCTTCCCAGGTGATTTGTGTCAAGGTGACAAAACCAGGACTTTCTTCTGTCTTAAATTTGGGAGAATTGTATACTCAATTGAAAGCCATCCCTAAGTCTTGGCTATAAAATGATATCTTAATTGTCTCAGGTAAACATTTAGGGGGCAAGTAGATCTAAGTCATAGAAATTACAGAAAGTTAAACAGTTCATACACTGTTTCCCTCCGGTTTATGTCTGGTGTGTTGAAGGGCTACCAGCAGTAATTGCCCTAATCTCATTCTCCTTTTCTGTCTTCAGGATCAGGTAGACAGAGCTGATGCTTTCCCTCAGGTCCTGAGAAAAGTAATTGAATGGATGAAGTCAAAGGAATTAGGAACTAAGTACAAATACTGCATATTAACAGATGGGTGAGTAGGAAGTACTTTTAAAATCCTTTTTAACAACAAAGAGGCTCTTAATTGTTTAACTTCTAGAATGTCTACTAAGTATTTGTTACTACTTTCTAAAGCTCCCCAGGAGTCACTCCTCCGGAAAGAGTGTCTATTTTTTTCCTCACATTCTTTCTCTAGTTAAAGTTTGAATTCTCAGGACAGACCAAAGGAGGGAAAGCCACTATCACATCAAATCTATGACCAGAGACCCAATATGATCCATATTCCTGTGCTGTGCTGAAGCAGCTTGTCTGTATCCCAGTTTTCATCATGCCATTTGCTTGTGACTCTGTGTCCACCATGGCATTTGCTTGTGACCATGTGTCCACTGTGGCATTTGCTTGTGACCTTGTGCCCACTATGCGTTTGCTTGTAACCATGTGTCCAGTGTTCTGACTTAACTCTGATGGGTGATCTTTTTGTAAGAAAGTTGGATTCCTTTCATTTTATTACCCCATTTTATTTCCCCATAGTCTTCTGTAACACTTCCTATAGTGCCAAGCCCAGACTTCCCTGTTAAATGGAAAGGGAAATAGAACTGGATGTCAACACTCATCTGTAATCCCCCCACTTGAGAGTTAAGAGGCAGAAGGATCAGGGATTTGAGGTCAGCCTACATAGTGAATTTGAGGCAAGCCCGGGCTATATTTTGAGACCTTCTCTCAAAAATCTACTTAGGCCCTCTCCCTGAAAAAAGAAGAGGAAAAATGAAAGTGTACATAGGAAAGTCTGAAGGGTTGAAAGAAGGATTATATTCATTGTTCCAAAGTCACTGTGCCACAGAGCCATTAAAGGTGAAGGAAGACCATAAGCAGCTGCTGTTGTGGCTGATGCTGTGGTGGTGTTTCCCATGTGAGAGCTCTGCTCATACAGAAGGGTTAGAGGTCTGCACACACGACGGGAGGAGCACATGGAGCATGCCAGCTCATCATCGGCTTTAGAAACTTGAAAGAATGTTGACAGGGCTCTCGAAATCTTACTGATTTTAAACATGGCAGAACTCCTGCTAACATTGACGGTCGCTTCTTCATGTCTCGTTAGAGGCGGTTCTTTAGAATCTTAAAGCCCGGGACAGATCTGTGAAAATTGGTATGATGGTTTTTGTTTTTTGTTTGATTGTTTTGTTTTTTAATTAGAGCAGTAGCAAAATTAGTAGCTGATGCCTCCAGAAATACTTGAGGCAGTCTGCTCACAGTTGGTGAGAAGCAGTAGGTGTTAAAAATCATGAGGCTGGTTAACCGATATTCTCTGCAAGAAGTTTATTAGGAGGGAGGGGGAGCAGGACATGGGGAGAGAGAGAGAAAAGGGAAGGGTCGAGGGGGCGCCCCAGGAGAGAGAGGGAGAGAGAGAATGTAAGGGTGTAAGAGAGAGAGAGTAAGAGTGTAAGAGAAAGAAAGAGAGTGTCGGGGTGGGCCCTTTAAGGGGCAAGGTAACCACGCCTCCCAGGTGTGGCCACCTGGCTGGCAACACATGATGACATCATAGGTTGCTGGGTAACCCAGGAGCAGGTTGTGTTCCAAAATAACTAACATTCCTCCCTTTTTCTATAATTAAAAAATGGGGAGCTTGGGCTGCTTTTTATAAGGTAAGTTAAAGTATATAAATTTAGGCTCATTGGAAGCAGCTCTCGGTTGTCATGCAAGGGTTTGAGAGAGAGAATTATAGCAACAAAATGGTCAGAGTGCAAGGTCAAGAGTAAGGGAAGCCTCTGCCGTAGAAAATTTAGGGTAGAGGGTTGTCAATAGAGTTGCCAGCCTTGCAAGGCAGCAGGTAGGGGCTGCGGAACTCTGGGAGAACCTGGAGCTGCTTGTCCTGGTCCTGAAGCACACCATTTCAGCCTTTTGTTAACAACAAGTGAATAACGGGCGTAGATTCTCTTCTGGCCACTTCCTGCTGACACTGGGGGCGCTGTAGGGAGGTCAAAAGGCTGAAATGTTGGTCAAGTTCAGGAAGAATAGGCTGTTTTGATGCTTTCCAGGGTCTGTGAGAACATCCATGGCTGGGAGGGAAGGTGCAGGTCCAGCTTGTTGGAAGTCTGTGAGGTCAGAGCTGAACACCTGCAGCTTGTTGGGAGTCCGTGAGGTCAGAGTTGAACACCTGTAGCTGCTTTGGCACTGTTGTGACTATAGGAAACATCTGTGTCTGGCCGGACACTGAAAAACATATATAGGCAAAAGATAAAATTGAGTAGGCTATGGAGAAAATCCTGTAGGTATACACTGAAAACTTTTGGGAGAGCAAACAGGAACAGTACTTATCTGAGAGGAGTCCAATTGACCTGAGAGGTGGATTTAGGTGGACTTTCTGCAGCTTACAAGAATTACTTTTAAGTTTTAAGGAGATAAAACTTTAGACATGTATTACAATTGTACTGTGCATTGTAGAAAAAGGCAGTAGACATACATATTTGTGTTAATAGCATAAGTATTTTTTAAGGTGAGCTCTGAAAAGGCAAAAGCCTTTTATGAAGTAAAAGGGAAACTCACTTGATCTTAACTTTTAGTATAAGCATACACATTATGGAGACTTACAATCTTGAGCTTAGAACCATAATAGTATGTGGTATAGTGGAATGTTTTTTTGTATCAGAGTCAGATTAATAAATTAGAGCCCTGTTGATAAAGGTCAAAACTCTGGACAGTCAATACAACAGTAACATAACAGGAGGAAATATTAAGCCTTTTTACCTACTCTGGACAGTCAGTACAACAGTAGCATAACAACAGGAGGAAACATTAAGCCTTTTTACCTATTTAAGATACCTTAAATCACCTTAGACCTTGTAACCTTTATAACTTTATTTACTATCCTTAAAACATTTTTTAGACCCTCAAACATTTATAAGTTGCATTACCAACCTTAAGACACATTTTTAGACTCTCAAACATGTATAACTTACGTTTACCAACCTTAAGACGCTTTTTAAGACTCTCAATACGTATAACTTGTATTAATTAACCTTAAGGCATCTCTCAAATATGTCTTTTGACAGGGACCTTTGTATTTAGTTATTTATCATGAGACGTGGTTGAGACTGCTATGAACATTTATTGTCCTTTAGCTAAAGGAATAGTAAAAGGTTTCATTTAGGCCTGTTTCTTGAGTCTGGACTGTGTCTAGGCCTGAAAATAGCAGCTCTAGGACTTAGGCTTAAGGCCTGGTCTCCTGCATATAAAGAGGACTGGGAAGGCACCTGAAGTCTCCCAACACAGAAGTTGGCAATATGTCCATGGGACCTCATTCTGAGGTCAAAAACAGACCTGTGCGAGAGCTGTGGAGGTTGCAAAGTCAAGGAGCCATTCGTCCTCCGCCAGGCCAACGAGCTAGAAGGCTGGAAGTGTCTATAGCTCTTGTGCTGGTTGAACTTCCATGGCTGGGCACAGAGGACAAGCCTGCTTGGGAGCATTTTGACTTCCAGAGCCCAGTTTGCCAGCAGCCAGCTTTAGCATGTCAGCAGCGGGACCAGCATCCACTTGGCTGCATTTGAAAATGTCACCTGGCAGAACGGACTTTTGGCTATGCAGACTTCTTGCATTTTTGCGGGAACACCAGCAGCTTCAGAATGCAGCTAGGGCTAGAGCCCTTTGGGGCGGCTCACTATTTTTACCAACTCCTATATGGTGAATCAACGACCATCCTCAGCTGTTTATTAAAAATTGCAGTGAGACCATGTTTGCATCTGCAGGACTATAAATATGTATGCATGAAATGACTATTAACCTGCATTTGTTAACCATTAAATATTAGGACTTTAGGTTTTGGCCTTCCTAAGTTAGGACCTTAAAAGTCATGAATATAATTTATTAAAGTGAGAGCATAAGAGTTTTTGCATGATTTAATATATAAAAGTTTAAAGCTTATAATAGTCTAAGGCTATACTACAGATTAATAACATCATTTTAGGAGAACAAGACCAAGCTTATATTAACCTTTTGATGGCAGAGATACTGTAAATTAACCCAGTTTTAACATAAATAAATACCTCTAAAATTAATAGGTCTTAATTTAGAATATTGGTAAACAACTTGTACATAATAACAAACCCTTGAGCTATAAGTTTAAAACCAACAATTTAGCAGAACAGTATAAACCAAATTTAAAATTAACCAAGTATATTTTAACCCTTTGATAGTAGAGATGTATTAAATTGACCCAGGTTTTACATAAATAAATACCTCTAAAATTAATAGAGCTTAATTTAGAATATTGGTAAGCAATTTGTATGTAATGATGAACCCCTGAGCAGAACAGTATAAAGCAATCTTAAAATTATATTTGAGCAACACATAAACCAACTTAATTTGAATAGATATTTATAACTTTGAAATTTTATTATTATATAAAATTTATTTTGAAGCAGGGTTGAATTATTAGACAGTAAAATGTAACTTTGAATTTCTATAAAAATCTACACCAACTTGAAATGAGGCTCATTGTTGTGGCCTAGTCTAAAAGATAAGATAAACAGTTAATTATGATTAAGACTTATAAATGCAAACCCAATGAGAAAATTATATAAATTATATAAGGCATTAGATAAGGAATTGAAAGCATAAGAGTAAAGTGTATAGAAATCAGGAAGAAAATATTTTAATTTTATTTTTTTCTTAAAGCTTGGGAAACGCCTCTTAGAAGAAAGCATGGGGCTAGAAGCAAAAGGAAGGCAGCTTGGGGAGGGGAGAAGTGCGTGGAGAGAAGGCTGCCTGGTAGGGTGCGCAGGAGGCGGGGCCTCTGCCTGAACCTAAGATGGCCCCCGAGCCATGTTGTTAAGTGAATGGTTAAGCTTTTCCTACGCCCACTTCCTCCCAGGACCAACTTGGCATCTGATGGGGATCTCGCGGGAAATTTAGAAGTTCCCCAACTGTGCTGGTTTTTTAGAACTGTCCTACCCAGTGCAGCATGCCAAGCTTTTAAGGTTGATTTTAGAGCGTGTGAATTTCCCAGGGTCTGTGCTGGAATAGCAAGCACACACCATCCCTTTTGGCTCACCTCCCCCCAGGGGACCCTGGTAGAGCACCTACCCTCTTACCAAACCTCACCACTGCAGACAGCACAGAGATCCAAGCTGGGGCAGGGCCGCCAGAGCCACTGCGGCAGGAGTGACTCTCAGCCCTGGCCACAGTGCCGGATTGGAGCGTGGGCACCCACCACAGGACAGGGACCAAAGCCTGGGAAATCAGAGAGGACGGAGAGAGCAGCACAGTAGCCATGGCCCCAGGGGTTCCGAGCAAGCTGATGCTTTACGCTGAGGCTCAGTTTTTGGGCATAGAGCAGAGAAAATCGGTTGTAACTGTTCTGTCCGGAGTCCGGAAGGGTTCCTAGCAAAGCTAGGAGAGCCCAATCCTAGCCAATGCACCAATGTTAAAAATCCTGAGGCTGGTTAAACCGATATTCTCTGCAAGAAGTTTATTAGGAGGGAGGGGGGAGCAGGACGTGGGGAGAGAGAGAAAAGGGAAGGGGCAAGGGGGGGCGCCCCAAGAGAGAGAGAGAGAGAGAGAATGTAAAAGTGTAAAAGAGAGAGAGTAAGAGTGTAAGAGAGAGAGAGAGACCACTTGTCAGGGTTAGCCCTTTAAGGGGCAAGGTAACCACGCCTTCCAGGTGTGGCCACCTGGCTGGCAACACATGATGACATCATAGGTTGCTGGGTAACCCAGGAGCAGGTCGTGTTCCAAAATACTAACAGTAGGATCCCAGGGGGCAGCTGTTTTTCATTTTATAGTAGCTGAGGGGAGGTGTTGTAAAATTTCCTCCTGACGATTCCAGTTGCTTCTGTTTTGAAAAGCCACATTCGAATTAACCCAATCTCCATGTTGCACACTACTGAACCTGGTTTGGCTTTAGTTTGAGACAGGGGCTCTCACTTTGTCACTTGGCTGGTCTGTGTGCAGCAGGATTAAGGATCTTGCAGTGCGCCTGTAGCACTGACCTTAACAGTGAGAGCAGGTAAATTTGATCTAACATGTAATCCCAGCAATTACACAGAAGAGCTCAGCAAGGTGGAAGGTTGGCCAAGAATCAGAATCACAAAAGCAATCAAGATAAGCCTAGTAAGAGTTAGTTTGTGAAGAAAACACTGCAGTTTTTTTTCTTTCTAAAGCTTAAAAGTATTTTCTAGCAATCAGGGTTAACCTCCTAAACTTGGTATTTTGTGTGAATATGAGAAAGTTAATGTTAGTAAAGCACAAACAGAACCACTTAAAATATTGTTTGTAGTAATAATATGTAGCATTTGCTTTTAACACTTTTCTCTTTTCTTAAGTTCCTGGGATATGAGTAAGTTCTTAAACATCCAGTGCCAACTCAGCAGACTCAAGTACCCTCCTTTTGCCAAGAAGTGGATCAATATTCGAAAGTCATACGGAAACTTTTATAAGGTAAAAAGTTTTACCTTTTATGATACTGTTTATCATGTGTCCTCTATTTTGCATATGTATTCTGCTGTGATTTTGTATAGGTATTAAATTTTTTTAGGTTTTTTTTTATGTGAACCAGTGTTTTGCCTGTGTATTTATGTGCAGCATCTGTACATCTCCTGCCCATAGAGGAGAAGATGGTGTCAGATCCACTGGAATTAGAGATGGTTGTGGACTACCACAGGATGGGTGCTGGGAACCCATCCTGGGTGCAAGAGCAACAAGTGCTCTTAACAGCTGAGCCATCCCTCTGTCCCCGGCAGGTTTTTTTGTTTGTTTTTTTTTTTTTTAAGGTGTTTTTCACATGAAAGAAGCCATCTAATTCTTAGGTGTTACAATCTCGCTTTTGTTCAGATTAGAAGTACAGTCCCCTCCCTGTCTTATATTCTCATGTAATGCATTACCTTTAACGGGCAGAGATGCATACATAGATTGCTTGTGGAACAAATGCTATGGGATTTTATTTCATTTTGGTTTTGTGTGGTACGAGGAATTGAACCCAGGGCCTCATGTCTTCTGGGCAAGCACTGTATGCCCAAGCTGTCTCCACTCATTTTTAACTTTATTTTGATCATACTTAACATTCATGAGTAGTATAACTTTTAAAGTAATACTTTAAGATGTGGAGAAATGTACATTTCCTGTCACAGTTCTCATCAGAACTGGTTCTTGTTCTAAAATAATTTTTTTAACTTTAAAAAGCTGTTTCTTCACATATTTACCTTTGTACTTTTTCAGTTGCTTGTTCGTGCTTATGCCATATTTGAATTTTTCTTGTGACATACCTCTGAGTTCCTACAGTGAAGGATGCTTCAGCTCTATTAACACTTTTGTCCCAGAATGCCCATCCCACTCTGCATCTTTATAGTCAGTCGTTGTTCGATGCTTATGGCTGGTGACTATGGAGACTACTCACAAAACCTGTCTCTATTGATTGCTCTTTGTATCATTAGGAGGCAGGAGCTCACTGCCTACGTAGCTTATGCTGAGCTAGAACTCTTGCGGAGGCCTGTGCACCACCCCTGGCTGGCAGAAAGTCTCTTTTACTCACCAAACTGTGACACTTCTCAGAACTCAAAATAGTCTGTGGCTCTCAGGATTACTGTCTTAGAGCCATTAATCTTATAATTTTAACTTGAGCGTTTTCTTTGCTTTCTGTCATGTCTCATAATCTGTGTCATCATCTTTCTCCTTTTACATCTTTTGGAAAAGTGTGTCCTAAAGTACTTTGATTTTTTTTTTTTTTTTTTTTTTTTGAGACAGGGTTTCTCTGTGTAGCCTTGGCTGTCCTGGACTTACTTTGTAGAGCAGGCTGGCCTCAAACTTACAGAGATCCACCTGCCTCTGCCTCTTCAATTGCTGGGATTACAGGCATGTGCCTCCCTGCCTAGCTAGTAATTCGATTTTTTTTTAAGTACTTTTTCTTAAAACACTTTATTAAAAATACATTTGGCAGCCGCAGGGCAAGGCAGGGAGTGTTATTTGTTGGTTTATTTGTTCTAGTTTAGTGTTCTTCTGGACAGTGCTGCTATAAACACTCTTAAATACGTCTTTTGGTACCTTTATGTATTCACTTCCTTGGGGTATAAACCTGGCGTTGGAACTGGTGGTCACAGGCTATGTGCATCAGTGACACTGCTAGGTAACACAAGGACAGCTTTCCAAAGGGCTTCTTCTGTTCTTCTGCCTTGTTAGTTTACCAGAAACTTTATGATTTTTCTGTTTTTTTGTAGTTTTCTTGTCACATTTTAGGAATTAAAAAAAACTTTTTTTTAGTGTTACAGAAAATTCAGAACCAAAAGGTGAGGCATGACTCGGCTCCAGCCCATGTAAATTCAGTCACCCTTGCCTCAGTGATGCCCTCACTCACCTTCTTTACTATTTTGAATCAGAAAACAGCAACTCATCACCCTAGATCATTGAGAATTGATTTGGGCAAAGCTTGCTGGAAAGTTCTTCCTTTTCCACTACACCTACTCAACATCACCCATGTTTAATTCATTCCCCACTGGTCAATACCTTAGTTAGAACTGGAAGATGGGCATCCAGCTCTCTAGCCTAAGGGCACGCTGGCCCACACTTATGTCCATGAAATATGATTCTTTCCCCAGCTATTGTCATTGATGGTTTCACAGGGTTTGGTAGTCTGTCCTGGGCATGTGCTCTCTCAGCGCGTGTACATCAGTCTGAGTGCTCTGGCTTTCGGTTTCCATTGAGAAGTCAAATGTTAATCTAGTGGACCCGTTCATATGTGACTTGCTCTTTTCCCCCTGCAGCTTTCAGTATTCTTTCCTTGTTCTGTACATTGAAGTGTTTCAGTTACTCAAGTGCCATGGGGAGTTTCTTTTCTGGTCCAGTGTATTCGGTGTTTTGTATGCCTTTTGAACCTGTTGGGTATCTCTTAGGAAAATCTTCAGAGATTCTGTTTAAAATGTTTTCTGTGCCTTTGACCTATGTTTATTCTTCTTTCTTTGCACCTATTACTTGTAGGTTTGCTCTTTTCATAATCTCCCATTCCCAATTTCCTCGATGTTTTGTGTCTGAGTTTTTTGTTTCTTTGGGTTTTTTTGTTTTGTTTTGTTTTTGTTGTTCTGTTTTAATTTGTTATTTTCTTTGATTAGCTTTTCTTTTTACTATGACATTATGACCTGAAATTCTCTCTTCTACTTCGGCTTTTCCCCTGAGCTTTTTATTTTGACTTACTGAGCTTTTCATTTCAAATTTTATGTATTTTTTCCTTTGGTCTTTCAGAGTCAGGATCTTACTAATATAGCTCTGGCTGTCTAGGAACTCACTTTGTAGACCAGGCGGGCCTTGAACTCACAGAGATAGATCTACCTGCCTCTGCCTCCAGACCGTTGGGATTAAAAGTCACGTTCCACTATACCTGACATTGACTTTTCTTTAGTCATTCTGTTCTTCTTTTAGATTCTATTTTGATGTCTTGGATTATTTTTATTATATCATTCAACTGCTTGTTTTCCTGGTCTTCATTCAGCCATTTACTCATTTCCTTGTTAAGGTTCTTGAGCATATTCATAATTGCTCTTAAAGCTTTTGTGTTGTGTCTTAGCTAAATTGCTTTTCTCAGGGAAAACTAGAATAGGGGTGCCAGCTTACGATTTTTTTTTTTTTTTTTTTTCAATTTAAATGTTCAGAGTAGCTAAATTACTTACTAGGCTGTTTGTTTTTCAGGTTCCCAGAAGCCAAACCAAACTGACCATAATGCTTGAAAAATTAGGAATGGATTATGATGGGCGGCCTCACAGTGGTCTTGATGACTCTAAGAACATTGCTAGAATAGCAGTTCGTATGCTGCAGGATGGATGTGAACTCCGAATCAATGAAAGACTACATGGAGGACAATTGATGAGCGTGTCCTCTTCCTTACCAATAGAGGGCGCCCCAGCTCCACAGATGCCACATAGTAGAAAGTAACTGCATTTTTCTCTGGATCAGTTGCTACAAAGAAAAAGTAGATGAATGACTCTGAGTTAGTGCAACCTTCAAGCACCTTAAACATTTACAAGCTTACTACAATTTCAGCTAGATGAGTACATATGCAAACATTTTGTAGGAATTCTTTGCCACCAGCACTTTTGATATGAGCAGTATTTGTTACACAGTAACCATTCCTGCTTAGAACTGAATTTTATAAGATGTCCAAGTTGTGTTCCTTCGGTTTTAAAATGAGAAGTCTTACTGCTTCATTCCTTGAATGTCATGTCTTTACTGATAATTGAAATCTGAAATGAATTTCTATATTACCACCATTAAATTAAATTTGGCTTTGGAAATGAGGAAAGAGTTAAAAGGTAGTATTTATATTCCCATTGAATTTTATCTAAAACATGGTCCTTTTAATTTTTTAAGTTTGTGAGTGAAGTTGAGGGGTTATGGTTGAAGGTTGTATTCCAGGAATGCCATGTAGGTAACAGATTCTACAAGTGTTTAAGTTCTGTACTTAAAATGGCGTAATGTTTGTGTATAACCTACAAACAAATGGTTGTATTGTTGATAGAATAATGACGAGAGCAAAAGTCTACAGGTTGGTGTAGACACAACTACAGTAGGCCTCACTACGAAGCATGTGGGTGAGTTGCTCAGCCAGCACCACCTGGAGGCAAACCAAGAACCCGAGACGGTGGCGGGGACAGTTGTCCTGTGTATCGCACGTCTGGTCCATTCAGGGTAGTGCTTGTGAGTAGCAAATTCAGATATTTTTGGCACATTTTCTGCATACATGCAGGCCAGGTAGTGGTTTCTAAAGGTCCCCACCACCAAGCTTGACAGTCTAGTTTGCTGGACTGAGAGAATCAACTCAAGGATAGCCTATGACCCTCTGCATGCACACCACTAGAATTCACCCACACATACACACACGTGGGCATCCACAACAGGTGAGCAAGATGTCATAAAGTATACGAGGACACATCTGCCAGTTTCATCTCATAACTGGAAACCTTGTCATAAGTTATAGGGTCTAGTTAGAAGTCTAGTTCCTGATGAGACTGATGAATTACAAGAGCCAGCCTGGTGGCACACACAAATAATTCCAGTACTCGGACATAAAGCAAAGGTGACTCTGAAGCCACCCTGACTCCAAAAAGTGTCAGTAGAAAATAAGAATGAAATTATGAAAGCTGTAATGTACAAGTCAGTGGGTGTTTTTGAAGTTTTGTTCATTGGCTTCACTCTCCATTGTGAATGTGAATTTGCCCCACTTTGAGACTGACCTACAGCTCACAATGAACACTGACGTTTGTTTGGTGCTGTGAGGTTAAATGTCTTGTGCTATAGTTAGTAAAGTACCTGGCTTGTCTTAGTGAGTGACCAATATATTGGAAAATATTTACTGTTTCTAAAATCAAGCTGTACTTTGGAGATAATGATGCAAAACTATCTAAAGGCTAAAAGTGTGGACTTTTGTATTAAAACCCCTCTCAAGCTTTTCATGAAGTAAGTCATCAATGTTGCTTGTTTTTTGTTGTTGTTTGTTTGTTTGTTAACCTTTAATAATGATTGTGATGCCCCATTATTTCTGTGGTTAATCAAGATTTCGTAATGTTTTCCAACCCTGTGCGTAGGAGAAAAGATAGTTAATATCCTTAAGTGGCATGAGAATTTACTACAGGCTTGTGGATTTCTTGAGCCAGTGAGCTTCTGCTTAGAAGCAGAGGGATGGAAAATAGCACATCATTACAAGTGACAGCTGCCAGGAGGCCCACTCACCAGGCTTACTGCTTACTCTTCAGGTGATTTTCCCACATAAGCCATGTTGACATAGGGGCAGGTTCATGCCCTAGAAAAATAATTGCTTGTCACCTGATTGCGTAGTTGCTACTGAATAGCTGAAACTACAGTTGGAAAACTGGAGAATAGTAGGAAATACTAACGCCTTCCAGGTTTTTTAATTTTTTTTTTTTTTTTGGTTTTTTTTTTTGTGTTTTGTTTTTAATCAGGATGTTTAAATTTCTTCCTGACAGTTAAGCAAGTACTCCCCCCCCCCTTTTTTTTTTAAGAATTTTAATAATGCTGGGTGGTAGTGACATAAGCCTTTAATCCCAGAACTTGGGAGGCAGAAGCAGACTTTTAGATTAAGGCCAGCCTGGTCTACAGAGTGCTTAGGATAGCCAGGCTACACAGAGAAACCCTGTCTCAAAAAAATAATAAATAAATAAATAAAAATTTTAAAATTCAACAATGCAAGTTTTTAAGATTTCTTTTGGCTCTACTAAGTATTATGTTTAGTCACTTTTTGAGTCTGCCAGGCCCCCCTGATTTCATTTGGTCTTCTGCGAGATGACGTTTATAGAATCAGGTAATTCTTAGAAGGAAAATGCTGAAGAATGGCTGCCATTGTGTATGAAGATATTTGATCTTGTTACTGCTATAATACACTACACTAATAATAATTAATTAAGTTACTTAATTTTCACCTTAGTCGCCAGAAGCCATGATCATTTCCTTGCTTTCCTTTTACTTGCTTGGACACATGGAGATTTTTTTTTCCTTGTATTATTTTCAAGTCCACACCAATGGTATATATACTCAGCTATATTTTGTCTGATTTTGTCTTTCCTGTTTGTATTAAATACTGACACTGACTGAAGTTTTTTTATTTTCTTACTCTCCACTTCTCCCTCCTTCGACTGGATCAAGAAAAAAAATGGAGAAGTGGTTTTCTCTTTTAAAAAAAAGATTCTTTTTTACGTGTGTGTGCCACACTATGTAAGTTTATGTGCGCTGTGTGCCTTGGACCTCTGTGGAGGCCGAAGGGTGTCAGATGCTTTGGAACTGGAGTTACAGGTGGTTGGTAGCAGCTGACATGGGTGTTGGGAACCTGAATCCATGCAAGAGAAGTCAGTCAACCCTGAGCCATCTGCAGCCCCAAAGAAAGCTTTTTCTGACTTGCTTTTTTCTTTCTTTTAGCCTATAGAGACCTGCTTGTCCTGCTGTAGGGATAGATTTTCTCAGCTGGGTGAACATGACAAACCATGGGAGTCATGCTAACATGGTACTTTAGTAAATTGATGAAAACCTGCGTATTTAAATGATAATTTCTTAAAAGGTAAAGGAACATGTAGTTCATCTTCCTGAATTTTTTTCCTTTTTTTTTTTTTTCAATCCTTACTGAATTCGTATTGTTTTGTTTCTAGACAGGGTTTCCCTGTGTAGCCTTGGCTGACCTGGATTCTCAGAGATCCGCCTGCCTCTGCACTCTCTGAGTGCTGGGATTACAGGTGTGCACCACTGTGCCTGGCTCTGAGTTCTTACAAGCATAAATGTGAAGAATAACTTGGAGCAGAAGGGAAGTAAGATTTCTGGAGAGAGAGGGATCATAAGTGACCAGCAGCAAGGTCACCCACATCAGACGTGAGCTGACCCCGTGGCCTCTGTGAAGTCTGTGGAGAGTATGTCATGTCTTCCAGAAGACTTTCTGAGGTTCTGTGGAGAAGACTGAGTTCTGCCATCATGGAACCTGTGTTGACATGCTTTGCATGCCTAGTTGATTCTGGTGTTGATAAACAAGTGGTCCCATTAAGTATCTTCTTGTCCATACTCCTACCCCCACACAGCATCAAGCTCACACCGGAGCAGGGATCAGCAAACTAACCACAAACCAGATCTGGTAGCCAAGTGGCAAGCTAGGATCAAAAGAGCACTGTGTGTGTGTGTGTGTGTGTGTGTGTGTGTGTGTGTGTGTGTGTGTATGCATGCACATATGCTTTTGACAGAGTGTCTGTGTAGTCTGGAATGCCTTCAAATTCTTCAGTGCTGGGATTACAGGTAAGTGCTACCACGCCTGTGATGTGACTTATAGCATGGGTGTTCTCTGAAATAAAATTTTGATCTTGTAAATAAAGCTCTGGGCAAGCTCCCATTCACAGTGATTTGCCTGCGTTCTGTGTTTTTTGTTTTTTGTTTTTTGTTTTTTTGTTCTACAGCAGCAGAGGCGGATATGCACTCTGGAAACCTCGCCAGCTATGGGTGAGAACTGCACAGGGAACACACACCTCCGGAACAGCTGCAGGCTAGTTCAGCTTTAATCTCGGAGAACAAAGGCTAATAATATATCCTCTAGGGGAGTGGGTGGGGGCTACAAGAATAGGTGAACATAATTGGTTGGAACGAGCCACTTCAAGTATGCTTGATTTGCATCATACAGCACGCACCTATCATAAAAGTAGAATGCCAGTACTTAATTAACATAGACACAGGGAAGGAAGAGCTAGTAGGGAGCTGTGTTAGAGGCCATATATCAAGTGTGGCTAGGGGAGTCTGTGTCTAAAGACACTTTGCAGAAAAAGGCAGAGATCAGGGAACCCCAGCTAGGGGAGGGAGTTCTGCCTTTAGCACCGAGTTCAAGTTTGTAATGGATGTCTGGGCCAGGCAAGACTGCAGGAGTGTTAATATCTGTCTACTATGACACTAAAAGCCTTAAGCTTGGGATTGGGGGATAGGGTACTGTGTTGCCTGCCACCTGTGGATACCTAATTGTCATGATGCCACAGTTCTGTGTGCTCTGCTGTCATAGTGGCATAGAGCCTGTAGTTTTCATATACTCTACTGTTACCTCTAGATGTCTTCTAAACTCTCAGGTGAATGCTATGAAAGTAGCTATACGTAGTATTGGCAGAAAATGCTTCAGCACAGGTACATTTCTTTCTTAAAGATGTGTTTTTTATGTGTGTGTTGGAGTGCGCTCAGGCCAGAAGTGGGCATTAGATTACCTGGAACTGGAGTTACAGATGCTTGTGAGTTGCTGTGTGGGTGCTAGGAACTGAACCCGAGTCCTCTACAAGAACAGCAATTATTCTTAGTTGCTGAGCCGTGTCTCCAGCACACGGCTGGACCTTTAAACCTTGTTTTCGGTCTGGTTCATTGAAGCTGTAAGTGCAGGACCTTTGGATTCAGCAACTAACAGTTACTTCTCAGGATTGTGTGTCAAGGCTTGGGTGAGCAAATGGGGACTCAGAAGCATTACATATCTGCTTTTACATCTGCAAGGGAGTATCCTCAGCTAAGTCACTTTAGGGGGGTGGTTTTGTTCTTTTTGTTCGTTGGGTGAATACTGACCAATCCAAAGTCATGTTCTATTGTTAGTAACAATTCTAGATACAAGTTCCTTCCTGTTTGATGAAGAGAACAACATAACTCTTACAAGCTTGCTGTGTGACATTGGTCACAGCAGAGGGCTGTTCTTGCTTGCTGACCTGCACTGGCCTGCTACTCTTGAACTTGGGTCTCTTTTCTTCGTTGATTTGTCTTTGTCAGTGAGACAGCTTCACATGCTATTAGGATTCTTGGTCTTGTCTCCCCTGCTCTACCATGCATTCTTGGCACATCCTCAACCATTGGTGAATTTAATGGTCGCTACGTTAGTCCACTTTGTGATGCTGCCACAGAGTACCACACACTGAGCCTTTATAAGGAACAGGTTGGCTTCTCCCTATTTTGATGGCTGGGAAGGCCTAGGTGGTACTTTTGGTAAGGGCCTTCTGCAATGTTAGCATGATGTAGAGAAAACGGTGGCAAAAAAATTAAGAGCACACCGGCTTCAGTCTCTCTACCCATAAAGGTACTAGTTCCATCATGAGGGCCACCCCTATGACCTCATCTGACCTCAGTTACCTCCCAAAGGCTCAACAACATCAACACAGGAATTTTTGGTTTTCTGAGACATGAGCTATACTTTCAAACCATAGTGCTGTGTTCTAGTTTCGTATCTCTGCTGCTGTGATAATTACCTTGGGCAAAATCAACTTGGAGCTCAAGCAAGGAAGTGTGAGGAAAGCTGCTTAGTGGTAGTACCACCCACAGTGGGCTGCGCCCTCCTCCATCAGTTGCCAATCAAGGAAGCGCCTCAGAGCCAGCCACAGGCCAATCTGATGCAGCCATTTTCCCCACTGACACTCCTTCAGATAACTGGGCTATGTCAAGCTGACAGCTGAAGCTAACTAGGAGACACTGTCCGACCCTCCCTGTTCCTCCTAAGTCTCTGAAAGAATGCTTTGCGCTTCTGTCTCAGAAGCTTACATTTCTCTCAAGGCAAAAGAAACTCCTGGCATTTAAACGCCCCACTGCGGTTTCTGACATTTTCCAGTTTTGATGGCAGGCGTCTGCCCTGGGCTAATCACCATCCCCACCTTATGTGTGTCACACGATGCTCTCCTCCTTTTGTCCCCAGAAAGTAGTCCATCAAGCTTGGTCTCTTGCTTGTGGCTTTTAAGAGCTGGCTTTGAGCTTTTAAGAACTGGCTTCCTCAGGAGCTGCCCTGACTTTGATGGTGTCTTCTCTGCCCACCTGGCCTTTGGTTGGTGCTGCCAAGGTTCATGTTCACTATTTCTTCTATGTAGGTTCTTGTGTATTGCATCCTCAGACTCTAACATACGATGTGTAATTGAAAACAGGCATGGTGAAATGCATTCCGTAAGGCCTGTTTCTCTTCTTGAACTGGAAAGGGTGTGTGGCTTAAATCCTGATTACTGTGAAGAAAGAGTGAGTGCCTGGAGAGAGTTTCTATTTTCTTGTTCCTATGAGTCCTGAATCAAAAATATTTAATTCCTATCAATACCTTGTTTTTCCTCTAGGTGCCAGAAAAAGCAAACGAATGCTGATCATTCCTAGTCTGTCTGTGCATTTAAAACTCTCCAAGTATTCTTTGACTTTGAAAAGGACATTCATTGCTTACCTTGTGTAACAGAGCAAGAATCCTTCAACCATTTTCAGTTTGCATAAATACTTTTTCAAAAAAAAGTTTTAGAAGTAAACTTACTCAATTGCATTTTTTGTTGTTGTTGTTGTTGTTGTTGTTGTTTGTTTTGTTCAAGTTTTTTGAGACAGAGTCTCGCTATGCAGCCCTGGCTGACTGGAGCTTGTTAGGTAGATCAGACTGGCCTTGTACTCTCTGGAAATCCATCCACCAGCCTCTGTCTCTTTAGTGATGGGATTAAAGGCATATGCCACCACACCTGGTTCTGTTGCACATTTAAAGCACATTCAATTGCCCAAGTTTGACACTATCAGTAGATAGAATATAAACACTCATATTTGCTGGGGCACGGTGGCACACACCTGTAATCCCAGCACTCGGGGAGGCAGAAGCAGGAGGATCTTTCTGAGTTTGAGGCCAGCCTGGTCTACAAAGCAAGTCCAGGACAGCCAAGGCTACACAGAGAAACCCTGTCAATAAATTAAACAAACAAACAAACAAACAAACAAACAAATAACTGCTCACATTTCAAAACAGTCATCATTCTTCGTGTCTGATGGACTCTAGATGCTATAGAAATTAATTCTATTATTTGTATGCATAGAAAATGCGTAGAGAGGGGCTGGAGAAATGGCTGAGTGTGTAAGAGTACATATACTACTCTCGAAGAGAACCCAAGTTCAGGTACCAGCAAGCATGTTGAGTGGCCTACAAATACCTGGAACTCCAGTCCCAAGGAATCTGACACCCTCTTCTGGGCTTCATGAATAACTGCATTCACATGCACACACGTACACATAATTTTAAAAACCA